TGTTAAGATGAGTAATTCGGGTTTTGTATATTAATTATTTATTTCATCTTTAATAGCTAGTCTAAGACAATAGGCAATAAAGCAGAGCAAGTGAAGGGGAATCAATGAGCCTTTTAAGCTCGCCCTGAAATTAAAATTTTACTACTTAATTTAAGATTGTGTTTCATATGGGAGTAATATTCTCAGAATTTTATTGCTTATTTGAGATTTAGATTGATCGAATTGCTCATTCGAATTTGTTATTTTTGGGTTTGAAGTCATATTGAACATTGAAGATCCATATTAAAAAGTTGGATCATGCTACATATACAGAATTTTTGTACCAAATCTTTTACCTACTACTCAGAGTGGGGGTGTAGATCATATTGTCGAAATTTTTAAATATACAAGGGCTCCGCACATTATGTGAGAGGGTGTAATTCATTATATACAAACCATTATATACAAATGGATTAACCCTTAAAAGTTATCCCCAGAGAAGTAATTTAAGCATCTGTATATAGTATTTCATAAACATTGGTGAAATTATGTCAAAACTCTCAAGCTTTTCTCTCTGCAAGTTTTCTTTTTCTTCCTCGCAGTAAATGTTCCTATCAAGTGGCAAATAAAACAAATGATTGAAGAGTGAAATTTACGAAGTTCGACCCTAACAATACTTAGAGAGGGTGAACATGTATATTATGCGGGATTAAAATTATTAATTAATTAGTAATACGTCAACAATTAATTATCTTTAGATGATTAAGCATGCAAGTCAATTTAATCTATGTTTAAATATCGCAGTTAATATAATAAATAAAGAAAGCAATAAAGACGCACGGAATGATCACGGAGAAACCCAACTGGGAAAAAACTCTGGGCACTTTACCATTCAATCCAATATAAACGATTCAGAAACTTACATTCTACTAGACTAGACGATGAAACATACTATCTGATCTTTGGACTGAAGTTCTTACAGCTCTCTGGAAACTGTGCTCTTCTGCACCAATCCTTAGCTGCAATTTTCAAAACTCTTGTGGAATCTGCTACCCTACAGTACTCATAGCCTTGCAGAATTGTCTATCTCCTGTAGATCACAAAGAACACCCAGTTCTTCACCTATTGGAACTTCAGCCAATTTCCCTCAATCAGCAACCCTGACAAATGTAGAGGAAAGAACGGTTTGGTATTTGGATTACGAAAGTGGTATTTTTCTCACCAAAACAATCTCACATAGCGAAGGTTGAAAGAAAGAATAAGTAGGTTAGGAAAGTAATGGGCCGGGGAAAAATTCTTTAAATCGCGAAATAAAAATTTCTCGGATAACACTGTCGCTCGAGTGAGGGCTTAGTTACAGTCGAGCGACAGGTTGCCGTTGGAGTTAAGGTAGGGTGACAGTCGAGCGATAGATGTTCTGTTTTAGACGCTTGAGCTAATCTATGGCGACAGTCTAGCGAAAATCCATGCTGTATTTTTCTTCTTTTGCCATACTCGAACCCTAGATTTAAAAAATCCATTTTCGTATAATTGTATATTACTCCTTGACTTTTTAAAATATTAATAATGAAATCCCTTTTATTTACAGAATTGTCAATTACATAATTAAAAACCTAACAAAGAGGAATATTTTTATATTCAAATTATTTCATATTACTAAATTTTAACATCTTTAATAACAAGGATTGCGGAGCGCTGCCACAAATTAGCACCGACTAATCCTGTTTAATACAACGTACCAAATGTGCCTTGCAACATTAACGTAGCCACCATGTGCGGCTATTGCTTGATCTTACAGTACAGAAATCAAACACTAAAACTTGTTCGTAAACCTCAGCAGCCATTCTAGGAATCTTCAAATAATTCCGACACAAAGGGCATGTCCAGTGCCCATATCCAACCCACCTATCCAAACAAACACTGTGGAAAACATG